AGCGCTGGTGAGACTGCGAGAGGCCGCAATCCAATTTGCCCCCACCTGCGAAAGCGCCGCTTGGAGCTCCGCGATCGGACTGGCAGACGTCGGGGTCGTTCGCTTCGTTTTCAACCAGCCCGGCGCGCCCCGCGGCGTCGGCCATGCCTTCGCCGGGGACATTCGCTTCGACTGTTGGCAAGCATGGCACGCCGGCACGGGCAAGGCGCGCACTTGCCCATTCCGGAAAGGGCAGTCCGACGCGGCCGCGGCGCCGTCTGAGCAGCAGCCCGACGCCGCAATGAAAAAGCACAGCCAGCGAGGCAAGCGGACAAACCAGAGCAGGGTGGCACAGGGCTAGGGGATCAAGATGGGCACCGCCGTGTACAACGCCAAGGAAGGATATATTTGAATATATACAATTATTAGCAGTGCGGGTGGCAACGCGAAGATCCAGTCGGGCCTTCTGGAGCGCGCCAAGGATGCAGATGATTTCTTGCAGGGCAAGTTCGCAGTGCACAATGTCATAAGGGAACCAATCGGTGGACTCCACGAGTGCAATCCGACCGAAAACAAGGATTGTCACCGGATCACCCATGCGGGCCAGACCACGCCCCCCTTGGGCGAGTTGTTCGGCAAGCGCGGGGCGTGCCGGGAGCCCCTCAAAGGCGCGGCTGCCCCGATGAAGTACCGCGCGCCGCAGGTCGAGAAATCTTTCGAGAAGGATGCGTTCGCTCTTGTCCCAATCGCGCCGCCCACCCTTCTGAACGAGCAGACGGATGACGCTTCGGGCCGCAGCGCGCGCCTGATGACGCGCGCGGGCCCATGCAAGAAGAACGCGTGCAGCGCGGTGCTCGCGCCGCCTCGCAGACCGCGGAAGGGCACCCTCATGCCATCCACTGGCACCGGCGGCCTCAATGAGCCCGCGTTTAGCGCGGCCGCCCCGTTCCGGCCCATCCCCGAGGGCGCGGCGGCGACGGCCAGCGCGACCATGATGTTGGCAATGGCCAGCTCCATGAAGGCCCCTGTGCCGACTAACGGTAAGAAGCTTGCCGATGGCGACGCGCTGCGCGCGCCGCCTGGAGGGCAAGCCAGCGCGCGCTGCGACGGGCAGCGAGCCCAAGAGCGAGGCAGCGAGGAGGGCCGGAGGAGACGCGCGCGCACTTCGAGCAGAGGGCATTTGTCTGCCAAGCACAGCCGCGGCGCACGCGCGCAGGGCGGCACGCCTGCAGGGCGCGGCGATTAATTCGGACATTCATCATGTAGACGCGACGTCGCGCATGAGAAATCACGCGCGATTGGATTCATAAGTGTCGCCGCCGCCGCGGCGCATCCCCCCGCCGGGATTGCGGGCCAGAGGCCCCTCGCGACATCGTCGCAGCGCGTCGCGGCCGCGCGCGCCTGAGCGGCAGCCGCCCTGGCCTCGCCCGAGCGGCCGCGCCGCGTCCGCGTCGAGTGACCGACGCGCGTGTCTTCGGGGGCGGGTTTCACCAGGGGCCGCGGGCGCAGCGGGGCATCGTGCTCAGGGGTGGCGCTGCGTGAAGCGAGCGCAGCAAGAGCGACGAACAGCCCCGGCAACTCGCTGGGCCCCCCATGGCATTAGACCAAAGTTTGCGTCAACGGCTATAGCGGCTAGAGTTTTACAATCAACAGTAACGCGTCATCATGAGGCCTCCTATCATGGTGGAGAGCAGAACCGACCCGTTCGCAGGCGATCACATCTTCGCTGGGCTGCAGCTGATGCGCGCCATCGCAGTGGGCCAATGCAGTTGGGGGCGTCTGAGTCAGGAAGGCCCGCTGCTTCAGAACTCCCAGAAGGGCGGGGTCATCGCTGGCCGCAAGAAGCACGTCGACGAGGCATCGATGCCAGACTTTGTGACATTGCATCTCCCATGCGTCGGGTGCGAGCCGGGTGGCGAGAAATATTACGAGGTGACATGCGATGGGGTCGCAATGAAGCGTTTGTTCGCTGCCCCAGCAGGTCGCATCGTTCACGCTGAAGGCACGCTGGAGGCATTGACATATGCACGCTGCGCCATCATTATGGCGGCGTTCGGGGATGGCCAGCGAGACTGCCGAAAGAAGTCATTCACGGGGGCGCGCGGGACGCGACGCAACAGGCGTCGCAAGACAGCGCGCGCCCTAGCCGAGGCATCGGAGATGCCCCATGGGACGAATAGGATGGAGGCGAAGCCTGCGGAGTGGACCGAGGTCTCCATCGGTTTGGGCGCCCAAAAGCTGAAAGGGCC